CTCCTAAGTCTTATTGGTTTGCCTATGACTCATTAAAGATCATGTCGTTTATTCACTTCCATCTTGATTCTCATACCGTATTTACTCACCTTGATACCTAAGAAGTTGTTCGTTGATGTTATGTCGTACTGTTGTATTGTTATTGTTTATTAATGATGCATAAACGTTTAATTACCCAAGTTTGAGCTGTCTGCACGAGTCGGTCATCATCCGTACCTATCGCGACAGATTCTACATAAAGTGTGCAAATCGGAGAGTCTGAGAGTTGCTTTTGTCTGGAGGTTTCTTGAAATCTAGCAGTCGCAGACAACGTGTATCATTTCGATAAGCATCATGCGAACTGATTTGCAGGACGGATTTTTCGCCATGATCGATGAGATCCATTGGTTGTCTCTGGAATCTGAATAAGTGGCCATATAAAGGCGCTAATATCCCTGGTCTTCTATGTAGAAAATCGCTGGACAAAGGACGCTTCACTTTGAAAAGTGGACGTACGTAACAATCATCATCGCCTTGCTCAGTGGGATGTTTGAACTGATTCGAGACTATTGCGTTGTTGCGTTACAAGCTGGCCTCAGGTGGCCCTGTTTTTGCTCCGAAATCGTTGCATCATAAGGAGTGATGGTGTTCACTTGAATATCCATAGACCAATAATCGTTCCACTTCGTGCTTTCTTCGTCTGCTATTGAAATCGGAAGCACTTGTTGGTGGTTCTGATACGTTGTTGTTCTTGCTCTTCCTGAGATGACGTAACCTAGTTTCGTAGGGAGAAGCATCAGTCCAGATGGTAGTGGTGCTGGTGTGCTGTCCGTGCGGATGAATGACCACATTTGGTCGCATCCAAGAAGTATCGCTGGATTGGAGTTTCCCTTATTGAGATTGAGATATTGAATTGGAATGTTCAGATTCCGTATTGCTTCAATATCTGATTCTGGTATGCGTGGGACTGGTAAGGCAGGAGTGATCACATCGTATGTGTAAAGACACAAGGAATGTAAGCATCCTTCCGTATCCCACATTTCCAATTCAACCAGCTTGCATGACATTTGACAGGCTTCTTCTGACCCAAAGGTGTGTACGTTCATCTGCTGTTCTTTGATGACTGGGAGAGCAAGCTCCTCTGCTAGGGAAGTATTGATGAAAGAAAGTTCAACTCCGCTGTCTAGTAGAACATCAATCTTCATCAATGCCTTTCGTACGTGGGTGAAGCACTGTGATTTCTCCTGTAGGTAGAAAAGGTCGGGATATCTCCTTCGCATGGGACATCGTAGCCATTTGCATCATTGCATTGTTTCCGGGAATGTCCTCACCGTTGACAACTTCACTGACCAATGTGTTGCCTTTGTTGGCTTTATAGATTCTTTCTGGCGACTTTGCTGGTATTGTTAAGCTATTTGCCTTTATTGGCATCCGTTCCCTTGGCTTGGATGGATTTTCTTTGAAACAACATGAAGTATGGTGAAATCCTTTGCAGTTGAAGCACCGGCGTCCTTTACATTCAGGAGTTTTGTGTGCCGATGAGGCGCATATGAGGCATAGTTTGCTCCTGCCTCAGATATGAAGAAGCGTGCTTGAGGGGTTGAATAAACCGTGCACGCGAAAGATGAATGCTCACCATGGCAGTACATGCATGAGCGAGGTCGAGAATGGTTCCTTCCAAGCATATCGCTTGGAGGCTGTTTGTTTGATGCATCTCCTGAGTACGCTATCCACAGCTCTTCAGTAGATAGGAATTCATCCAAAAGTTTAATCAGGTCATTGACAGTGAATAAATTTCCGAAGGCTATTTCTTGCCTTCTGGTGATGACTTTGCGCATGGTTTTGGTGGGAAATTTTGATAGAATTTTCTTGACTATCCAGCAGCTATTGAGATTTTCCCCTTTTTCCTGCAACTGTGTGACGATAACTTGGATTTCGTCTAGAAGGGAGCGCTGATCCTTGATCGAAGGACTTCGCAGAGAGCATTCATCCAATTGATCGATCAGTTGGTTGATCAGCAACTCCTTATTGTTATACTTGTTGAGAAGAAACCGTATGGCCTCGTCATAGTTGCCCCTTATCACCTGGAACCTCTTTATTGCTTCCTTAGCTTGTCCTTTCAAGGCGTTCAGCAAGTAATTGTACTTGACCATTTCTGGAAGATCTTGGGAATGTATGTTATTGTTAAACAGCTCCCAGAAGTTTTCCCATTCCCAATAGGTTTCCATCGAAAGTCGGGATTGGAAATGGTGGAAGTTCCAGCTGCTTGGGTTGGAGCTGAGTAGTGTACAAGTTGGGGCTCATAGGCTGAGTTGTTGTCGCTTGACTCATTAGTGAATGAAGCCGAGCTTGCAGAAATGTAGAAAGATCGAATGCTTGCGATATTGCTGATTCGGCTTTTTGAGAGTACTCCTCGTACTCTTCGATGTCCTTAAAGGAGGATTTTACGATTAGAATGGAGGTCGAGGAAGAAGTAATTCACCTAGTTGAGGGACCCACGGACCTCCTGAGGGTGCGAACTGATGCGCAATTCGCATCGAAAAATTTGACCTCGGCGACCTATCATGCCTCAAAGTTGGCGGGTCTGGCGATCTCCGCCCACCGACCATCTGATCACTCGCCGCAGTCTATACGTGGCGAGTGATTAGATAGCTGAGAGAGCGTAGTGTTGAAGAGGGCACAGTCGCATCAATGCTCAAATCAACGGGCAAGGAAGGGGTCCCATTTCTCGGGTTCTGGGCCGTTTCTCATGGTTCTTCCTTCTTTCGTGTACCACTCACCATCCCTAAGTTAATTTGAAATGGGTTGCCTTAAACTTGAAATGGGTTCCTTAAATCTTGGATTCGATCCATTTACGAGATGGGTTCATTGAGGGCGTCAATTGTCGAGGCATAACTATTCAGCCTCTCTTCGACCTTTAAGGACGTATCGGCCAGTATCTTGCTGCCTTCTTCGAGTCGTTTGATTGATAGTTGTAAGTCGCTTGAAGCAGTTGGTTTACATGGTAGATCTGCCACCTTTCCTTCCAACAATTTTGAAACTGTGTTCTCCAGCTTGTTGATGAATGTCGTCAAAAGTCGCTTCTGCGTGCCAATTTGAGACATATTGATAGGTATTGAAATTCTGTCTTGAATCCGATTTTAGTCGATGCACCAGTTTGTCGGTGATTATTCGCCGATTGTTTGCCACGCGGGTCTTTTGGAAGATTGATATGTATTGATATTGTTGAGTCGCAGAATATATTGATGGAATGATTCCAGATATATTGATATGAGATATTGTTTGGGCACAGTGAAGTATACAATAGATTTATTGGTTAGTGATGGTTAGCAACAGCAAAGAATAACGGTATTGACGATTTGGTAGATGACGAGCGGATCCGAAGATGGTGGTGGCGCCAGGTAGGAGACCTGAGCGCGAGTGTATTGCTGAAGGAAGCAGACCTGAGCCGCTGAATAGGTGAATGAAGTGACTTATTGACTGACTGATAGATAGCTCTATGCCACCTAGCTGGGTTTTTATACCCATTTCTCCCGCGCGATCAAGGTGGTCGATCCGATGAGTGACCACCATGATCGCCCTGATCGCGTTCTGTCCAAACCCTATAATGAATTATTATGTAACATAAGATGTCTTACGCTATGATGAAGGTAGCGTTTCGCTACACCATAGAATAATGTACAAAAATGGAGAATCTGACGATCTAGTCATGAACTCTGCTCACTGTTTAGTAAACGCATTTGCTGTCTTCATTCTTGTCACCATATTTATGCCTCACTCTTCAATGCTATATCTGCAAAGCACTTCCATTTGATACATCAAATTGAAAACACACCATATTCATTCCAACTGCGGCCATGTTGCTGAAAATTGCACGCTTGTTTGGAGGCGCGAATACTAACTCCAATCACATTCAAATTCTCTGGGACAGTCTACCAGTGCGCTCTTCAGTGCGATGCTGAATTTGCGCCGTCCCTCTCGAGACGGCTCGGGAATACGCCGCTCATCCTCTTTCCCGTCGCGCTCAACATTTCAGGCTTTTTGACGGTAGCGATTACGAGAGGTTCAAGAATGGTGAGAGGAGACGTGAAAGTCAATGGTACGCCAGTTGAAAAAAAACGGAGAAATCCGTCAAGAAAACGCAAAACGGGACCCCCTTTTTTGGCCGTTGGTTTTCACTCATGAACAGGTAACAGCTCAGAAAGCGGACGTATGAACGAGTTCACGCAACGCGTTTGGTGGCACCATGCCAAACCACGCTCCAATCGAGTTGCTCCAGTTGTGCCGCTGCTGGCAACGCAGCTCGTCCAAATCACCAACTAAACTAGTGGGCGGAGTGCTTTCGAAGTCCTGCTCAGCAACCAGCGCACCTTTCGTCGTGAAAGCGCTACACCTCGCTTCCCTGGCAGCCAAGTAACTGATTCGTGTGGTGCATATGCTTCCCCGATGCGCTCCCGCTTATCGTAATTGCTGCCTTTGAACAAGCGCTTGTATGTTGGTTTTTTCACAAAAGTTTGTTCGACTTGTTTTTAGTTGTTAGAACGAAATGTTGAAACATTTCTAGTTTAGTTGGGTTCGAGCTGCGCTCCCAGCAACGGCACAACCGGAGCAACTTGATGGGAGCGTGGTTTGGACGTGTTGCCACAAACGCGTTGCGTGAACTCGTTCATAAGCTTTCTGAGCTACTACCTGTTTATAAATGGTAAACAACGGCCAAAAAAGGGGTCTCGTTTTACATTCTCTGTTTTTTTGCTTTTGTGGTTTTCATTAAATCTATTCACTTTCAGTGAAAGGAGATACGAAATGTATCTTCGCCCTCCTTATGGCCTACCACCTCAGCGCGGTGGGAGGGTGAAACGGGTGGCGTGCGGGCGTGTTCTCCAAAAACCTTTACCGTTTTAATTTTCTTAATTTTTCAAGTTCAATATATTTCATTTACTAGTTCATATACATACTTTTTAAAATACTTCAATACCTTATTCCAAAGGCATGTCTGCATGTCCACTCGGCTAAGAGTAGACCACCCCTCGGACCCACAGTGGTTCCGGCCACTGTGGTAACGACTCGGCATTGGCCCTGGCTAGGCAGTGTTGAGAGTGGGAGCAAAGCAGCTAACACAGCAATAAAACAGCCTCAGTACCCCGCACACTGGGCCCAGCCGTCTCCGGCGTCGGACGGTATGGCGACCGGTGAGAGGCGAAGAAATCTCGGGTTGCGCAGGACGCCTTGGATTATGGACTATGAGAGCACTCCCCTACACGACATGGAGACTGCTTCTTACTCCACACTTACAACGCGAGAACAGTTTCTTCCAATGCCGCTCTCCAAGAGCTACTCGAGGCGATCAACCACATCAAGTACCACGTGATTGCCCTGCAAGAAACCAAGAGCAGGAAGACTGACGTGCGACGAATGAATGACGGAACCCTTGCATCCGAGGTGAGAAGTTTCCATCGCGAAACGTCGGCGGCGTTGGCTTTGTCGTACATCCATCTATCGTTCACCTTGTCGACTCCCATGAGATCATATCTCCTCGCCTTGCCATCCTGCGCCTTCGGCATTCGCATATGAAGACCATCAACATCATCAACTGCTACTCACCACACTGTGCAGCTGATGAAGCCGAACTTGATGCGTTTTACGATCAGTTGGAGGAGATCATCCGCAAGGAAAAGTCCTTCTACAAGTTCGTTGTTGGAGACTTTAATGCAAGGCTCGGTGTAACCCCAAAAGACGAGTTCAGGATTGGAAAGTTTGGGATGCGAGAGTGGAACGAGAACGGAAACCGTCTGGCAGGACTTCTGTCCGCGGCTCGACTCTTTCATGGTAACTCGTTTTTCCAAAAGAAGGAACATCGCCGTTGGACATGGGAGTCCACGAATGGAACAACCCATCGCCTCTTTCGCGCCAAGATCAGGTTCAATCACAAGCTGGAGAAAATCTCTCAACATCACGCGAAAGGAGCGAAGCAAGTTGCTATATGACGGCGAAGTTCTGAACGACGCACTCTCCAGTTATGACTGGCAAGGTCATGGAAGATCCGACCGAAGACTACGACGCTCTGCTTCCACGGACTCATCGCATGTGCTGAACGGGCTAAGCTTCCTCGACCAGATAACACTCGTCGCTTCTCCAATGCGACAAAAGATCTACCCAAGACAAGACGAATCACATTATTATTCAATTGGTGAATGTGGCTCCATCGATCTTGAAGATCATACTGTAGGTGGTCTGCAGATCGGTGATCACAAGGAGCATTTGATCTACGAGGCACTATATAAGGGCGACCTCCCAGCATGGACCAACCACTTTTGCCTTTCTCGCTATCAGGATCGGTCGGCTCTCCTCCCCACCCTCAATAAAGGACCAACCCGGATCTCTTCTCTATCCACATTCAATATTCTCTGGTTGTTACTAATAAACTTAGAATATAAGTTTTCAGTACAGTGTGCCACATTCGGGTGGTCCGTCCATCAAGTATCTGTTGCTGTAATACTCAGAACGACTATTCTATTCTCCACTGAGCCACACACCTCGAAAGACTGCACCTTAATATCAGCTGCAGACAAGCGATGCGTAAGGATCTTCAGCAATACAGGCAGCAGAGGCAACTAGAGGCAGCGTTGAACAGAACAAGTCTGAGGAAATGCAGACGGGATCTACAAGACCATACTACACCCCTCGCGTGTCTAAAAAGGGAAGACGGAACTCTCGCAACATCCCGGTTCGAGATGGAAGAAATAACGGAGAGGTTTTACAGCAACCTATACCGACCAGACCCAGAAATTCCTACTGGAGAAACAACACCGCGAATTCTCCCTTCAGAAGTACGAGTTGCAATTGCGAGCATGAAAGGGGGCACGACTCCTGGTCCCGACAAAATCTCAACCGACTTGCTTCGTGCAGGCCGTCACCAACTTCGTGCTCTTCTCGCTAGCCAAGCCCAGTCGCTTTCTTCCATGTAATCTCTGACGCGTTATTTGGGACGAGACGGACAACAAATGGTGGGTGAATCAGGTGACGCGGCTGTCAGGAGCTGTTAAGAGGTGCCGAACTGTGGGTTGCACTAGAATCCTTGAACATTTCGATTGTCTGTAGAACGCTCGTAGAACGCTCGTATTATTAGATTGAAACGAAAATTTTGAGACAGCTCAATTTTGAAATTAATTTTTTATTGGCCATTTATTAGGTTGTTCGGAAAGTAATGCGGGTTTCGAGATGCCATGCATTCATGAAATATTTTTATACTGATATTTCATTCGAGACCTGAAGCCCTATATATCATTGGCAAGCCTATTGTATCTTCTTTCCTTCAGTGTATTTGAGTTTCAATATGGCTTGCTATTTCGGGGTTTTTATAGATTTGAATAAAGGTGTCAAGACAGCGATTTTGGCAAGTTTACTTCGATGTGCTGAAACTCTGAGGTAGTGCTTCGTAGACCAGTCGAAATAACACTGAAGGATGGGGCCAAGGAAGCACCAATAAAAGCACAGCACAACATCGGCTCCAACATTTTGGTCTCAATGAATTCCATCGTGAAGGTGAGGGGAGTCATGAGCATGATTCCGCTGTTAACGACGGCCTTCTAAAGGTTCCCGTAGAAGATGGTTTTGGACCATCTGCACTATAGTTAGCTGTAGGACCTTTTCCTCTTCCCCCTTCTTTTGATTCTTCGCACCGTTTGTAGGTAGACAAAAGACTTTGACGTCCATCATGAAGCTGATTAAGATTTGAGTTGGACATCTTCCTTCTCACCTTCCCTCTACTTGACTTCTTCATCCTCTTCTTTTTTTGTTGCTTGGTTCTTCGCTTTCAGTTTTTCAAAACTGCCTTCATTTTTAGGACCACCATAAAATTTCGTATGTTGTGGTTCTAGTCTTACCGTCCTTTCCCTATGCTTGGCTTTTGCTTGTTCCTGAACCTCATGATTAGAATTAGGTCGATCAGGCGTAGTTTTGCCTTCCGCCTTACACGTGCAATTACGATCACAATATTTGTTTGTAAAACATTTTACTGACAACAGACAAAAATTTGTTTGTTTTTACTGAAAACGATTTCCAAATCAGCATATAATATGTGCAAACTTTTCCATTTCTCTGCTAACTTCTGCACAAAATAAAATTGAGCCCCTCAGTTAAGAAATCGTCAAAGGATGTCCATCTAATCGCATTTTATAAGGTGTTATACTCGGTCATATGGCACAAATTCGAGTTGTTAGTGCCGATAATCAAGATGACGTTCGCTAATCGCTAACAATTTGAGGATACTTGCAACGCGAAATTTCCGATAATCACGGTTCTCATCACAACCGAGAACAACATCGAAAGGACCTCGAGTTGAAAAAGAACAGATCCTTGGATTCACGGCAAGATCTTGGTGAATATTACCACAATTCCTCCAGAGACAGTGATATGCACAAATGGTGAAGGCGTGAGATTCTGGGAAGATAGGCCGAATTCTTTCGGTATTTTTGACTGCCAAATAATATGGCTCGTGTAGGCGGTACTGCTTTCTTTTAAAATCACAGGGCATGCGGGGGGAGGGGTAATACAATAAAAAGACACTTTTTGGAATAAAATTTATTACGCCTTTCTGACTTCATACCAATGAGTCAATTGAAAATGGATGATGTAGATGTAAGATGTCGTCGACGGATCGTGGACTATTTAAAAATCCGTAAACTCCAGATTGGAGGTGTGGTAATACTTGGAGCTACTACCACTAAACCACGGATCTCTTTCACTGAGGGTCCTCTCTCACTGAAAGATCTCGAGCCGGTTGGTGGCGAGGCTACGTGGCGCGACCCCAGGTGGCGGATAGGGGGTAAATCGCGGACCAAAAGCCACCATGTACTTGCCCTGAGACGCAGGTGGATTCAGGGGATGGACTCCCTGTTTCTGCTGTGCTGTGCTGATTCATACCAGCAGCTCTTGCATACAAGTGACTTGAAAGTACATGGGAGGCGATTCGGGCCGCCTTGAAACTAAGCCCCTTGTTCCGCTCCAGGATAGCGTGGCTAACTACCTGGAGGTCTATCCTAGCCCACACGACAGAGCCTGGCAGGATAGGCTGCTCAAACGAGGAAGGACTAAGATGGCGATCTGTACTTTCAACGCACGAACGCTTGCATCCGAAGCTCACATCGAAGATCTGATGATGCAAGCCAGGAAGATCAAGTACGACGTCATCGGACTGACCGAGACGAGAAGGCACCGCCCGCTACACGCCGTTTTCGATACTGGAGAAGAACTGTTCCTTGGAACAGCAGAGGCGTTGGCGGTGTGGGTGTCCTCGTCAACACGCACTTGGCCATAAACATCGATTCGTACGAAAGCCTTACGACCCGAATCGGACGTTTGAGATTGAGAAGATGTGGTTCAACTCCTGCTTTGACAATCTTCGTCGCCTACGCACCAACATCCAGCTACGACGAGGAGGAACACGAAGCATTTTATATGGAATTGGAGAAGTTCTACAGGAAGATCATACCTTTCTTCAAGGTCATCGTCGGCGACTTCAACGCCAAGATTGGCCCAAGAAGAACGGCTGAAGAACTTCACATCGGTACTCACGGAATGGAATGGAATGAGCAGGGCGAAGAGACTGTCTGAGTTTATCATATCCATGGTAACTCACAGTTCCAGAAGCCCTCTCACCTTCGTTGGACTTGGGAGTCACCTGATGGACAGTTCCATAACGAGATAGACCACATCATCTTCAATCGAAGGTTTTGCCTGACCGACGTCGCTGTTGTTCCGAAGTTCTACACGGGATCGGACCATCGTCTCCTCCGCGCAACTTTTCGATGCGTGTTGAGAGAGCCTCAAAGTTCAGGAAGCGAAGCCCCAGGACAGTCATCAACTGGGATCACTTCACTTCTCTTGTCAGCTTATGGGAGGATTCCGTTATCGAGAACATCGACGAGGAATATCATCGGCTCGTTGAACACCTTCACGAGAGTGGCAGGAAGGCAGAGAGTTTGAAAGTCACCAAGGGACGTCTGTCTCCGGAAACTCTCGAACTGATACGCCAACGTGGAGCCGCACGAGCTGCAGGCAATCACCGACTCACGTCCGAGCTTGCGAAGCTATGCAGAGAGGCGATAAAGGAAGATCTCAAGGAGCGAAGAAGAGCAGTATTCAGCTGAAGCAGCAGAGGCTTTCACGGAAACACAAGATGCCGCTTTGTCTCACGTTCATCGACTTGAAGAAGGCCTTCGACTCTGTGGAGACAGAAGCGGTCATCGAAGCCTTGGGCAACCAGGGCGTCCCTACTCAGTACATCAAGATTCTTCGTGAGCTCTACAGCAACTTTACGACCAGAATCTCACCATTCTACAAGGAGGTCATCATCGACGTCAAGAGAGGGGTTCGACAGGGCGACACCATCTCGCCCAAACTCTTCAGCGCCGCTCTCGAGAACGTCATGCGTCAACTGGAATGGAATGGGAAGACATGGGAGTGAAGGTCGACGGCCGGCAACTACACCACCTTCGTTTTGCTGACGACATCGTTCTTATAACGCCGAACATCGAGCAAGCGGAGCGAATGCTGGCTGATTTCGACTGCGCCTGTGGTAAGGTCGGTCTACAGCTGAACCTAACGAAGACGATGTTTATGAGAAACGGATTGGTTCCTGATGCCCCATTCACGCTCAACGGAACGAACATCACCGAATGCTCCAGCTACGTGTACCTAGGTCGGGAAATCAATATGATGAACGATCTAGCTCCAGAGCTGAGCAGGAGGAAACGAGCGGCATGGGGAGCGTACAAGAACATCGAGGGAGTAGTGAAGAAGACGAAGAACATCCGGCTCCGTGCCCACCTCTTCGATTCCGCTGTCCTTCCTGCCCTAACCTACGCCTCAGAGACTTGGACTCTGCGCAGGCAGGACGAGCATGCGGTCAGCGTTATCCAACGCGCTGTCGAGAGGACGATGCTAGGAGTAACCCTATACACGCAAGTGCAGAGGGGAATCCGGAGTTCCGAACTACGCCAACGATCGAAGATCAGGGACGCTGCCGTTTTCGCCAAGGAATCGAAGATAAGGTGGGCCGGACACGTCATGCGATTTTGCGATGACCGTTGGACCAGAGCGGTTACCGACTGGATCCCTCGGGACGTCAAACGAACACCTGGACGACCGCCGGCCCGATGGTCAGACTTCTTCACGAAAGCTCTGAACGAAAGGAATGAAGGACTTCGTGTCCCTCGAGCGAGGAGGGTCCACTGGACAACTCTTGCACGCGACAGGGACGAATGGAGACGTTGCTGGCGCCCGCTCGAGCAAATCGATGATCAACGGGACGACAGGTGATACAGGTGACTGCCACCAGAAAGCTGTTCAATACTAGCAATCCGATTGAGAATGTCATGCGGCAGTTTCAGGGTGGAACGATTTCGGTAAGCTTCTTTGAGCCCGTCGGTGACGGCAGGTGCCGCCATATTCAAAAAAGGCAGGGAACGGGTGCTTCTGACTGCTCCTAGGGGACATGTGTGGAATACTATGCCGTAAAATCATCACCAATAACGGCACCCTGCGCGGAAAGTTTGGTGATGTACGCCTTCGGATAAGTGACTTTTCCGACCCTACTGTATAAGTGAATATTTTCCACATATGTACATTATGTGTAGAAAGGTTACCATTTCATTCTATAGAAAAGTTCTGTTACCGAGCGTCTTTTGGCGCAACCTAATATAAGACATTGTTCAGAGCTTGTGCCATGGCCGAAGGCACAAATCTTATGCGTACCAATCCGCAAAAAGGCCGATGCAAATTGGGAGGAGCGTCAAATCTGCGATTCATGTCGATACACATTCAGACTGTTTTGCTTCCGCGCTCGCGCGTGCGCAAATTTTCGTTGTTCATACGTATACCAGATTAGTCCCCCGTCAACCGCCGGGACCTTCCTTTCCTGCGCAAGCTTTCTATCCTCCGCTATGGTCCCTTCCTCCTGTGACAC